AAGGATATAAACCCTCTCAAGAGTCCACACTCTTGAGTATCACTCAATAGTAATTAATGACGAGTAGTTATCGACTCTCTTGCAGAGTGAAGTTAATGATGAACACTAACGCTCAGTAATATATATGAAAACAGAGTATTGAATGCTAGACTTAATAATCACAAATAGTAGTTCCGGTATTCAATCCTCTTCATTAATGCTTCTTCACGCCTTTTATAGTTGAGATCATTAAGTAGCCGTTAGACGGAAGAGCTTCTAGCCGTTGTGACTCCGTTTGCGTGTTTCGCCAGTTTCAACGGTTCCGCCATTAATGCGTCTGAGCTTCTGACACTGTAGGTTGTAGTCTACGTAATTCCGTTGAAGAGCCGTTGTATTCTTTCTTGGTAATCTGCATATTTTAAACTTTAAACAAGTAAGAGTCTTGCGGTGTAAACTTTAATTATGAACAAGAAGAAAAACAAATTTATCATTCAACGATTTTGGACGAAATGATTTCTCTGTAAAAGAGCAAAAAGATATCCTGGTCATGCTTGATCGAAGTGGTGATCGATTATTTGTTGATCGATCAGGTTATCGATAAATAGAGTGAAAGCTTTTTAAATCAGTTCAACAATATTATCGATCAAGTGTTGGATCATTGAATTTAAGAATCATCATAGTTGACGGAAAACGTTCCATGATCGAACAAGTGATCGAACACTTGTTGATCGAACAGATTATCGATAATTCAAATGTTATTTGAAATGAAACTTCAATCATAGATGATCGAACAAATTATCGATAAATAGATGAAGGATAATGTTATCGATAAACAATGAGTAAGAATATGTTCAGCGAAAAACACAGACTATCTGGAATGATCGAACAGGTAATCGATCAATGAATATTCAATCAAGTGATCGATAAAGTGAAAAAGAAAATTTAATCCTGTAAGGTGAAGAAACTGATTATCGATCACGTTTTGTGAAAACATGAGTTTCAGGAAATTGGATGATCGATCAAATTATCGATAAGTAAATGATCGATTAGATGATCGAAAGGAAAATGGTTTAACATAATTTGATGCGAAGATAGCAATCCTGAGACTCTTTATCGATCATGTTATGTGAAAAGATATTATGCAGATAAGTTAAATTATCGATAATATGATCGATAATTAGATTGCAGAAAAACTAGATATGAGTAGATAAAGCATTGATTATCGATCATGTGATCGATAACTTTCTGATCGATAAGGTTATCGATTCAGCAGTTATGATGACTACCTGCATTAAGAGGGTTAGAGCATAATGTTCGATCATGTGATCGATAAACAAATGATCGAAAATATGATGGATAAATGATAACAGAATTAATTTGCAGAACGAGTAGAGTGTGTTACCTCTTATCGAAGTCGTTATTGATAACTGATTTATCGATCATATGATCGATAAATGCACTTCAGATTTGGTTCTTTTTATCTGTTACTTGTTTGTTTATCTGATGTTATCGATCAAGTGATCGATAATTAGCTGTAACCTTATATAATTTCCATGCTAGCGATAATCGATTATTTTATCGATCAACAACTTATCGGACAGCTCTTCGATCAAAATATCTACTATAAAACTGATTTATACCTGAACAGTTATCTGAAAACTTAGCGATAAACGTTTGATCGATCAGATGATCGATCATTATACTTAACCCAATTAATCTAACTTTGTTATCATCAAAACTATAATCCTAACACATATATGTCCAGTCACGTACGCAAATAAAAAAAAAGACTTTCATTAAACATGATCCGTCGTTGTTGCCTTCATTTGCTGGTACTTTTTTTTTTTTTGCTAGGCACTTATCGGAGGTTATCAGCTACTAAACATGGGCGCCTCTTTTAAAAGTCTGTTCCCTCACTACAACGCCAATAAAGTTTTCAGCTGAAAGGATATTCATCTTGAGGACCACTATGATATGAAACTCAGGCGGGTGTTATGTACAGAAGGTAGGATTTACTTTTGAGTATATAATATGCATTATTGGCTTCTTGTACAAGTTGGTTGTGCAGTGTAGGGTTCTAAATTGGATTCTTATTAACGTCCATGTGACTCTATCTCTGTGGAAGGTACTATAATTATATGCATCAGTTTAGTTTTGAATATTAAGAAAAGGATAAGCATGTTTGGATTATATTTTAAAAACACTTTAAGCACAATGAAGTCAATTCATTCAAATGTGAAAAGCCAAACAAAAATATAATGTGCCATTTTTAAACGTTGTGTTGACATTATAAGGAAGTGAAAGTGATAAAGAGGTTGTCTTGCTGCGACGCATCTTTTAACCAATAAAAAGTGCATTAATAAGAAGTAAAATAAGAAATAAAGCATTCAATACCTTTTTAAAATATACAAATGAATGACACTTATTATGAAGTGATTTTTTTTTTTTGGGTCGATGCTTATAAGGAAAATGCCAGAAAGTATCTTGGAAATTTAGCAATGACAAAATAAGGATTCCGAGTTTCAATAACCCTAAATTCTTGATACACTGATCCCAAAAATAGGAGGTCTATTTTTTCATTTATAATCTTTGGCGAAAAGATGGAATCGCAAGAAAGTAATGGTAAAATAGAATTCTGTGATATGAGGAGAAAAATCCTATGTCTAATATCCCTTAAATGTTCATAAACACAGCCCTCTGTTAATGGTCCCAAAAGCCGCGTGTTTTGTCCTTAATCATTGATTATTTTTGGTGTTTTGATAGTAATCCTTTTTAATTAAGCTTACTAAGCTTTACCTTACTTCCTCTTATACATTGACTTCGTCTTCATTCAAGTCAGAATATTACTAAAAGGTTCTTGCGATTCCATTATTCATTCTTTGAGAAGAGTCATTAAAGCATCATGGAGACTTTAGTGAGCTCATTGCCATGAGAAAAAAGGGTTTGTACAGGGCAATATATATATATATATATATATATATATAGAGAAAGAGACTGCAGAATTTGCAGAAAAGTTCTGGTAAAAAAGAATAGTAGAAAAATCATAAAAAATTGAAAACAACACCATTTTTTTTTTGACACACGAGATATCAAAATTTCACTCATTTTGTATAGAATCCAATGGTAAAAAGAAACAAGAAAAAAAAATATTTAGGAAGTAGGAGAAAATTGAAGGGTAGCAGAGAACGCAACAAAGATGGAGCAGCTGATACCCCAAATCCAACCGCGTAGAAGATTTTAGGAAAAAGAAGCAAAAGAAGATGCTGGTGCTACAGAGGCCAAAGTGCAGAAAGCTCAGGTAAGGCTTCATGGCTTCTGATATGGTAGATAGGGAAATAAATCTCCCTTTTGGAGTAATTCCATTGTAACGAGGTTCGTCGGGCTGAGATGCCAGCTGCCCCTTGGGTCTGCCCCTCAGTTCCCTTTTAATTTTGAGGCTCCAAATTTTTTTTTTACGGTTTTTTTAATTATTCTACATAAAATGAGTGATATTTTAATATTTTATGTGTAAAAATTGTTTTGTTTTCAATTTTTTATGATTTTTTAAATATTTAATACTCTAAGTTAAAAAGATTTGAACCATTTAAAATGTTAAATCTTTGAAAAATTATTAAAAATTGAAAAATAAACCATTTTTTACAATAAGATATCAAAATATTACCCGTTTGATGTAAAATCTAGTGATAAAAAGATCTTAAAAAAAGTATTTGAGAAGAGCTCCAAAATGAATGATTGATTTCCAGCTGTCAAGCTGGGCTCATTACAATTGCAATTGGTGTTGGGCTTAATTTTATTTTTTTTGGTCCGACGGGCTTAGTTTTATTTTACATCAATGCATGATGGTGGCCCCTTTTTCCTATCCTTCGTTTTGTGAAGGGATTTTTCCCACAATAAGATGCTTCGGCATAACGTATTGGCACCAGCCAAAAAAGAAGATACCTCTGCAGGGTGTACGGACCAAGCATAGCAGATTTGTTTGTTGTTCCTTCGCGTTTTAATTAATGTGAAATTTCAAGTTTCATAAAAAAGAAAGGAACCCAAAAAAGAAAAAAACTCTGATGGGATCTGTCTCAAACTAATTTGACAAAAGTTCAGATAACTTTATCTGAAATTTGCCAAACTAAAGATGAATTTAGTGACAGACTTTTTAACCCATTTTATCATCATCATTTTTCTAATTAAGAGTTCAATAATTTTCATCTGTCGCTAAATAAAAATGTTTTGAAGTGCTCGCTGTTGCTTCAATCTTGATGTGATTTTTCAATTTCATGGTTTCTCGTGTAAGTTGGTTGGACACTGGGCATCCATGAGACTTATCAACTCCATAAAAGGAATTTTATGCGTTTATTTACTTTCTAAGTATAAAACATCTCAATTAGAATAAAAAGTAAGTATGTGATGAAAGTTTTATTTCAACTTACGTAAAAATACTTATAAGTACTTAAAATAAGTATATGTACCTTGATAAGAGTATGGCGGCAGCGTTGGCCATTTAAACTCCCTTTCAAGTCAATATAAAAACTTTAGGTCATTCAATTTCCTCTTGTTTTTTAAAAAAGAAATATTTTAATTTCCCCTTTAGTTAAGGACACATGTACTTATTGAGGATACAAATTGTATGCAGAAAATAGAACTATGTATATTACACGACTTTAAGTAACACGCAAACTAAAAACTTCACTTCACTGGTAATATGCCTTCATGAGTTATCAATATCAACACTTCATCCTACCTTGCAATGTTCAGTCTAAAAGACTTGATGAGCAGACTTACAGAAACATACATTACGCGGCAAGAACCTGCATATTATATAAATTTAACATAGTTACAAGGGTATCACATCTCCAAAATATTAAATTTATAAAATCCAAAGCATGTCATGGTAATCTTGTGATGTATATATTTGTGATCATAATATAAGATATTCATAGTTCTAGAATATATTATAACATTTAAAAGAACTCAGTCAAAACTTAAAAATAAGAAGTTGTTTTTCACTCACCATAAAGCCAACTAGGTCCTCAATGACGGAAATGGTTCATCCTGAGGACCAGTGTGACATAAAGTTTGTCTTTGATGTGATAGAGGAATCTGAAGTAAGAATGCCTGAAATTTCTGTTGAAGAAAATGGCAACACAGACTCCCCAAAAAGTTGTTGCAAATCCAATCCCCAACCCAAAGTAGAATGAAGATAGAAATTCATCTTTTTGATTGTCATTTCCTTCAACGGGTTCGTCATCTTGTTTCGTGCAGTTCTTTGGAAGTGGAGCCCCACATAATTCATAATTCCCAATATAGCTTTGTGCATCAAACCCTTGAAGTTGAGTTCCTGATGGAATCTTCCCGGTGAAATTATTGAAGGAGAGGTTCAAGGTTCCCAGAAAAGATAATTTAGCCATGCCTTGAGGAATTTCACCCGAAAGTTGATTGCTTGAGAGATCAAGGGACTCCAAGTTGTTTAGGTTGCTGATCTCATTTGGTATGTTTCCCTCAAGTTGATTATGAGAAAAGTTCAAAGATTGTAATCCAGCGAGGCTAAACATTTCTGGAGGTATTGATCCGGAGATGTTATTACTTGATAGATCAATAGCATGCAAGAACATCAGGTTTTCATCATAAATCAATCCTTGGCCTTTTATATGCACCATAACACGGTCACGTGGTACACAAGTCAAACGTAGAGTTTTAATGCCAACTCTATAAGCCCTATTATTTGAAGAATTAGAGAAAGTCATACCTGTCAGATTTTTCAGACAAATAGGTAATGAACCTGATATGTTGTTGTCTGCAAAATCTAATATTCTAAGGGAAGCCAATTGGCATATTTGGGGTGGTATATTTCCACTTAGTTGATTAGATCTTAGTCGAAGAATCTTCACATTTTGTATAATCCAGTTCGTTGAGAATCTGGATAATTTATTTTCTCCTACATCAAGGATTTGCAACTTCCCGCAATTTCCCAGTGAAAAAGGTATCTCTCCAAATAAATTATTTTTGTTGAGATGCAAAACCACAAGGTTAGACAACAAACCAATTGATGGGGGGATTGTGCCTGTTAGATTATTGTCATCTAGCCTGACAAAAACCAATGATTTCCAATGCATCCAACAATTTGTAAGCCCTCCAGATAAAAGATTAACAGACATGTCTACATACTTTAATTGGCTCGTCCCATTCATTTTTTGACACAATAATGGAGAGATAGGCCCTTGGAAAGAGTTATATGACACATTGAACATCGCAACATTTTGTGATAATCGAGGGAGGTTGCTTTTGATTTTGTTTGAACTCAAATTTATGACGGTAGAGTTTAGTAACACGTTGGACATCTCTCCATGAATTGTGTTATATTGTAAGCGTATGTCTGGCACTCGTGCTACAAAGTCCCAAAACTTGTTTTGAGGCTCAAATGAAATTGTTGAGTATGTAATTACCAATTTCGAAAGCCATGTTTGTGTATATATCCATGCAGGAAGTTTAGAGCCCACCATGTGATCCAAATGAAGCCCTCCAAGCTGGAAAGGAGGAACCCATACAGGATCGAAGTCAAAGATCAAACCGGGTGATCCCATGGAAAGATAATTCAAATTTGAGAGATTGGCAAAAACTTTTTCAGACACGTGCCCTGTCAAGCGGTTATTATCAAAATATAATGCCTCCAAGTTGAAGAGCTGTCCAATAGTTTCCGGTAGACTTTCATTTAAGTAATTTGAACTAATATCCAACAAAATCAAGGATGAGATATCTCCCAAAGTTGAAGGAATTGGACCAGAAAAGGAATTTTCACCAACATCAAGAACCTGTAGATGTTCAAGTTGGCCCAGCCAATCTGGAATTGGACCGGAGAATGAATTTTCACTAACATCAAGAAACTGTAGATGTTCAAGTTGGCCTAACCAATCTGGAAAGAATTCAGAGCTAAAAGCATTATGAGCGAGGCCAAGAACTTCAAGCGAAGTAAAATTGACATAACGGAGAGATGGACTAATGTTTGAAAGCTGACAACTATCAAAGTGCAACTCAGTAAGGAAAGGAACAAGAGTTGCTAATTGGTGCCACTCAACTCTCCCTTGAAGATTAATGCCTCTAAAGTTAAGATATTTCAAGGAGGGAACACGAGAAAGCCAATCAAGACTATCAAAATGAAGATCCTCATTATAGGATAAATCAAGATAATGAAGATTAGAAGAATTTTTGCGTTCAAACATAGATAAGTTGGTAGAGTTTGAGATATCCGCACGATCATTTTGGATAATAGTATGGAAGTCATGATTGCTCAAATCCAAGTAATTTAGAAACTCAAGCTGAAGCAAAGATAGGTGGAGATCACCTGTAAGACGCTGACATTCGTCCTCTTCATGACAATCAGTAGCAGTGGGTTGTGCGGAACATGGGAGGCTAAGCTTGATCACTCTACCAGTGGTGTTGTCACACTGAATTCCTTCCCACTGACAGCAATCTCGTTCATCAGACCAAGTAGAGAGGATGGCATATGGATCAGAAGCAGTGTGTTTGAAGTTTAGGAGAAGATGACGGTCTCTTTCGTTGCATTGAATGCTCAAGCTGCTGCACATGCCTCGGGAGAGCATGGTTGCGAATATTATCAGAGAGCATAGCAGCAAAGCATTAGCAATATAGGGGAAGAATAAGGTATCCATGATCTCTGAAGATATGGTTTCATGTGTGAAGATATTGTCACCAATGACACCCATTTATATGCCTATAAGATGACAATTACTGTTTGTCTTCGTGACATAATCCATGAAAATATTAATGATTTTTCCTTTTCTGTCATGACTGGGCAACGCGGTGGAGTTACAGATAATGCAAAGCTTACATTTTTATATGCCCTAACCAATAAAATTATTCCAACTCCTATATTATGGGCCCTTAAAAAAGAAAAAAAAGAAATTGCTGTTTTTGAAAGTTTTAATTCTCTTTTTGCTCTTTCTTTATTGAAGCACGCTTTTTTGATGGCCGACACCCACTGAGCACTATATTATGAGTCCTAGTGAAAATTTCTTTTGGAGTTTTTTTTTTTAAAAATTTACAAGATTAGGTGAGTTAAGTGTTTTGAGCTCAGATATGTCTTTATGTTTAAATAATGTTTATAGAAATACTTATATATTACTCTTTCAATCCTTAATGTAGAATCTAATTTGAGAGTTTATGTTTGTCCTATATATAAAATTTGTTTTATATGTTTATCATTTTTGTCCTAAATTAACCCTATTGTTGCTTTCTCAACAATAATCAAATATGAGAGAAAGGGAAGGAATTAAGGAAGATAATTAGAATGTTTTAGAAAAAACATATCATATTAACTATTTTAACTAACATTTTTAATTTACTTAAATTAGTTAATTATGTCTTACATTAAGAACGAGATGAGTATTTATTAACAAGATTCTTATATCGCCTAATGGGATTTGAATATATAATCTTATAAGTTATAGGCCTAGTATGATGGAGCCAATCTTTATTTTTAGAAACTTTTTTGAATTCTTTTTTATCTCTTGCTTTATTAAAGCATATTTTTATCACATGTTTGACACGTATTTAATGATTAGACAGTTTTAAACAAGACCTTATAAAAAGGACCAAATTAATTCAAATTTTAAAATCTGATAAAAAAGGCATTTAATTAGAGGGAGCATCATATGCTCCTATAATTCTTGTAACATTTGCTTAAAACGCAAAAAAACGGGGACATATGATTCCAATTCAGATGTTTTATATTTACAAATAAATAAACACATGTAATTATATTCCTTCCAGAGAGATGGATGGATACAAGTCACATGGATTCTGGCTGATGAATGTGGTGGTCATGCAGCTCCAAGATTGAGATGAGTAAACTTGGTAAGAAGATAAGAGTTATAGCCACCGTCAAGTAACAGTTAATTGGTCTAATATTTTGGTAAATCCCCAGAGTCACTAAAAAATATGTTTGCTCGAGTTGGCCAAATCGGTTTGATTATAAGAATGAGTAAAAGCGACTTTATATAAAGTTTTCTTTCAAACTATGTTTCATTATTTGCTTAATTTTCTCAGCATTTTCTCTATTGGCTAGTCATCGTGGCGGGATCATCAATGGAGGGGAGGTCCCGTAATCTCAAATAAATTGAACAAAGTCCTTTTTCCAACCTCGATGGTCCTATTTGAAGCTCATCACGCATTAGGACATCTTTTCTTTAAAGTTCGTTAATTGCATTCTGTTTTTTGATAGCTCCTTGGACATGAGATTACTGGTTAAGTTGGCTAAACCCCTTGCCAATTGCATTAAAAAAAAAAATTCCATTAAAAGTTATTACAAAATATCAAGACATTTTCTTGGTGCACTAGGTCCTTCTTTACTATTCCTTCTCGTCTTATCTGTAAGTTTTAAATTTGAAAAAAAAGTATAGTTCATTTTATAAGCTTCAATTTGGTGTTCATTTTAACATTTAATTTTTTTTAAAAATTTTTTTGTCTCTAATTATTTATTCTTTCTCATTGTCATAATTTCTCTTATCACATTTTTCCACACATTTTTTTTTAATTTTTTTCTCATTTATTATAAAGACATATTTAAAAACAAAAGTATATTTTTAACCTATTTATTATTTTTAACTAATTTAAACTGATTATTCATTATCCGCAATTTAGTTATTTGTAGATTATAATAAAGATCAGAAAAATAATTAAAATTAACTATTGTGATAAAATTTATTATTAAAAATTTAAATTAATTACCCAAACTTGTGTCTGTAATGGCTTATCCAAACATGTATACTACTTCTTGTTCTAAACATAAGATCTTATATTTAGGACGGGATGTAATTGAATACAAATGATCTCAAAAGTACTGCGAAGCATCCTATAACCATCCTTGAACCATCAGAGAAACATATAATTTGCAGACGTATTCCATGGATTGGGCTTCAGCAGTATTTATGTCAATTTATCAAAAAACAAAAAAGAATTGTGCGCTTTATATCCAGGTTAAAGTGCGCGCATTAATTGACTATGATCCTTTCATGCGTGTTGTCCTTGAAGTTAAATGAAGTTCTTGAGTTGGGCTTCAAAAATTGCTCACTTCTGTTTTCATAGAGCTTTTGTCATATTTTTCCGTCCAATTCCATTTATAAGATACTTTAAGAATTCTTTTTATCGAAATTAAAACAATCTTAAAATTAAATTGAGTAAAAAGAAACGTATCACTAGATTGCACTTCAAGGAGGGTAAATATTTGTGGAGGTATATATCCACACATGTTATTAATTGATAGATCAATACTCCCTAAGGTTTTTTTTTTATAAGAAATAACTACGACTTATTTCTATAATTATAAATTTATAATAGATATTTAGAAGATATTTTAAATTTTCTTTGTCAATTATACATTTTAATAATTTTTTTATTCTCTCTCTTATATAATCGCTCCTTTATAAATAACAATATTTTTTGAGAAAAAAATATAGTTTTTATATTTTTATTGTTTCTAACTAATTTCAACTAATTGTTTATTAACATGATTTGATTAATTACTTCTTATAAAAAGAAACGGGTTGGTAGTATGTGCTACGTGTTGTGAATTGATCAATTCTTGGCCCTTTACACAATGCAGCGTGGGTCTGTGGTTACTGTTGTACATTTAGGTGAATTCTGAGATCATTAGAGTTAAGACATGTCTCTGTACAAATATCTATAGACCACCTAACAATGAGCTTCTCACGTCCATCTGTCGTGGGAAATGATGACTTTCGTTTTGAATGCCGCGTAAATTAATGCGGCGTCTCCATTTCAACTGCCATGTTTCTCTTTCCTTCCAGATTTTCACACGCAACAACCTTTCGCGACTTCGCGTGATGATTGTTTTCTCCACCGACCAAGAATTCTTCTTCTTCTTCTTCTTGCCAACAAGAATTCTTCATGAATGGTCATTTTTTAAATATTAATAATAATCCCCCCATTTTGTAACATAATTTTTTGGGAAAAAAATTTGTTTCAATTTATATGGCTTTTTAGAAATCAAAAGCAACATTTGTATGTCTAGATTGAGTTTGTCTTGATCACTAATGCATGACATAAGTGTAAGATATTTTAATATTATATTATATTTTGTTTTAATTAAAATATCTTAAATGTGGTCTATTAGTTAGTTAGGTCCAATTCAAGTAGTGTTTTAAACTCATTCTTTTTTAGTCATTTCATGATCTTGATGGTATATTATGTTTTTTGACAACTAATTGAATGAGCACTGGTAAAAGCTTAATACATGGCTATTGAGGTTTTCTGACTAGTGGCGGCTCTTTCTAGATCCATCAATACGCCTACCTCCAAGTTAGAAGAGATCTTGGCATCGTATCTATTGGTGAAATAGAATTCCATGTGACCATTTGGTTCAATATATTTGTTCATATGGTTTGTTCTACCGTGTGGCATGCTTTAGGTCTTCCTCTGCCTGCTATTTATATATATGTGTGTGTGTGTGATGCTTTATGGTATTTTAATTTTCTCCTTGAAAATTAATTTGAGAAAAAGCGAGCTTCATATATATTTTTATTCATTTTGATAGTTGATTCGATTAATTTTCAATCCAAATATATTTGTTACAATTTTCTTTCTTTCTTTCTTTCTTTCTTTTTTGATAACTTTGTTGCAATTTTCTCTAATTGAAGTGCCTTTTGAAATCGGACTCAAATTTGATTTCACAATCCACGTATTGCGGACAATATACGACTAATTGTTTTAAATTAATAAATTGTTTGGATCCCATCAAAAAATAAATTGTTTGGATTCATTCAGTTTCAGATTTGAATTTCGATTTTTCTTTTCCGTGAAATTACCATAGTTTCTGGAGAGCAAAAATTTTTTTTTAATGGGTTTCAAGGAGAAACTTTCGATTTATTTTTCCAGTCAGTTTGACATTGTGATTGATATCTGAGAAGTTTAAGCCTAAGAGGAGAATGAAATACTTCGTTCCCAAGTGATCGCCGACTGTTTTGGTGGTTAGATTCAATGGTCAAAACGGAAAACACGTTCATAAAAAAAAAAAAAAACGGAATACATGACAAACTATTTTAACAAAGTCAAAATCGATGATGACATAAAGTAGATTCCCAGCGGGTCTTTCTAATATCTGATTGGTGTTATCCGTGTCAGAACAGCCCTGAAAAGTTGCTTGGAAATTAGAGGCTGCGGCTACCTGGTCGCGGGTCGCAAAAGGGAGTTGGGTCAGGTAGGTTAACCCGACTGCTTGGGGAAAGGCACACAAAACGGCGAGGTTTTGTGCCCATGAAGGAGCCTCTCTACCTCATTTAGACGACATCGTTTTCAGTCAAGAGGGCAATGCATCATTTCACTAATTCCTGAAGGTGGGCTGAGCACAAATAGGCCTGTCCTTTTTGGGGCTTTATATTTGACTTTTGTTTCCCTTTTTTTTATTTAAAGAAAAGTTCCAGACTTTTAGGTTGCAATCTGGGCTTCACAGTTTTGGGTTTTGAATTTCCCAAACTGGGCTCATTGATTTAAGCTTTTAAACTTTTGTTTTCTGGGTTTAATTTTTTCCTGAATAGGCCTTTTCAACTTTTGGGTCATCTACGTTACTTAAATAAAAAAAGAAAAGGGACATAATTCCTGTGATGTTGCGATTCACGCTTGGACCCCTCTGGCTTTGTTTGTTACCAAACCAATTAAGAAATCACTTGGGTTTCAACATTTTCTGGAC